AAACTTAAGAAAAATCTTTGCCAAAAACTTTATCAATAACTTAAGAAAAAACTTAAGGAAAAAACCTTTACTAAAAACTTTGCCAAAAACCTTTCCAAAAACTTTGCCAAAAACTTAGGAAAAACCTTAAGAAAAATCTTTGCCAAAAACTTTAAGAAAAACCTTTGCCAAAACCTTAAGAAAAACATTAAGAACAAACTTTCCCAAAACCTTAAGAACAAACTTTATCAAACCCTCAAGAAAACCCTCAAGAAAACCCTCAAGAAAACCCTCAAGAAAACCCTCAAGAAAACCCTCAAGAAAACCCTCAAGAAAACCCTCAAGAAAACCCTCAAGAAAAACTTAAGAAAAAACCTTGCCAAAAACTTAAGAAAAACTTAAGAAAAAACCTTGCAAAAAACTTAAGAAAAAATTTTGTCAAAAACTTAAGAAATAACTTTGCCAAAACCTTAAGAAAAAACTTTGTCAAAAAGTTTGCCAAAAATTTAAGAAAAAACGTTGCCAAAAATGTTAGAAACTTTGCCAAAAACGTTAGAAAAGTTAGAAAAACCGTTAGAAGAAAACGTTAGAAAACCTTAAACAAGAAAAGACGTTAGGAAAAGCGCTAGGAAAAGCGCTAGGAAAAGCGCTAGGAAAAGCGCTAGGAAAAGCGCTAGGAAAAGCGCTAGGAAAAGCGCTAGGAAAAGCGCTAGGAAAAGCGCTAGGAAAAGCGCTAGGAAAAGCGCTAGGAAAAGCGCTAGGAAAAGCGCTAGGAAAAGCGCTAGGAAAAGCGCTAGGAAAAGCGCTAGGAAAAGCGCTAGGAAAAGCGCTAGGAAAAGCGCTAGGAAAAGCGCTAGGAAAAGCGCTAGGAAAAGCGCTAGGAAAAGCGCTAGGAAAAGCGCTAGGAAAAGCGCTAGGAAAAGCGCTAGGAAAAGCGCTAGGAAAAGCGCTAGGAAAAGCGCTAGGAAAAGCGCTAGGAAAAGCGCTAGGAAAAGCGCTAGGAAAAGCGCTAGGAAAAGCGCTAGGAAAAGCGCTAGGAAAAGCGCTAGGAAAAGCGCTAGGAAAAGCGCTAGGAAAAGCGCTAGGAAAAGCGCTAGGAAAAGCGCTAGGAAAAGCGCTAGGAAAAGCGCTAGGAAAAACTTAAACTTAAGAAAAAACGTTAGAAAAAAGTTAGAAAAAACGTTAAAGAAAAAGTTAGAAAAAACGTTAAAGAAAAAGTTAGAAAAAACGTTAGAAAAAAACCCTAGAAAAAACCCTAGAAAAAACCCTAGAAAAAACCCTAGAAAAAACCCTAGAAAAAACCCTAGAAAAAACCCTAGAAAAAACCCTAGAAAAAACCCTAGAAAAAACCCTAGAAAAAACCCTAGAAAAAACCCTAGAAAAAACCCTAGAAAAAACCCTAGAAAAAACCCTAGAAAAAACCCTAGAAAAAACCCTAGAAAAAACCCTAGAAAAAACCCTAGAAAAAACCCTAGAAAAAACCCTAGAAAAAACCCTAGAAAAAACCCTAGAAAAAACCCTAGAAAAAACCCTAGAAAAAACCCTAGAAAAAAGTTAAGAAAAAACCCTAGAAAAAACCCTAGAAAAAACCCTAGAAAAAACCCTAGAAAAAACCCTAGAAAAAACCCTAGAAAAAACCCTAGAAAAAACCCTAGAAAAAAACCCTAGAAAAAACCGTTAGGAAAATCGTTGGGAAAAACGCTAGGAAAAACGTTAGGAAAAACTTAAACTTAAGAAAAAACTTTAGAAAAAACTTAAGGAAAAACTTAAGGAAAATCTTAAGAAAAAACTTAAGAAAAAAGAAAAAACGTTGCCAACAACGTTAGAAAAAATCTTTGCCAAAAACTTAAGAAAAAAACAAGAAAAAACTTTGCCAAAGACTTTGGCACACACTTTGCCAAACATTTTGCCAAACATTTAAGAAAAAACAAACGTAAGAAAAAACTTAAGAAAAAACTGTGCCGAAAACTTAAGAAAAAACGTTGCCAAAAACGTTAGGAAAAACGTTGCCAAAAACGTTAGGAAAAACGTTGCCAAAAACGTTAGGAAAAACGTTGCCAAAAACGTTAGGAAAAACGTTGCCAAAAACGTTAGGAAAAACGTTGCCAAAAACGTTAGGAAAAACGTTGCAAAAAACGTTGCGAAAAACGTTGCCAAAAACGTTGCCAAAAACGTTGCCAAAAACGTTGCCAAAAACGTTGCCAAAAACGTTGCCAAAAACGTTGCCAAAAACGTTGCCAAAAACGTTGCCAAAAACGTTGCCAAAAACGTTGCCAAAAACGTTGCCAAAAACGTTGCCAAAAACGTTGCAACAAAAACTTTAGCAGAAACGTTAGCAGAAACGTTAGCAGAAACGTTAGCAGAAACGTTAGCAGAAACGTTAGCAGAAACGTTCGTTAGAAGAAACGATAGAAAAAACTTAAGAAAAAACAAACTTGCGAAAAAACTTAAGAAAAAACGTTGCCAAAAACTTTACGAAAAAAACGTTGCCAAAAAGTAAGAAAAAAAGGTAGAAAAAAGTTAGAAACTTTGCCAAAAGTGTAAGAAACGTTAGAAACAACAGTAGAAACGTTAGAAAAACCGTTATAAAACACGTTAGAAAAACCTTAAACAAGGAAGGACGTTAGAAAACACGTTGTTAGAAAACACGTTGTTAGAAAACACGTTGTTAGAAAACACGTTGTTAGAAAACACGTTGTTAGAAAACACGTTGTTAGAAAACACGTTGTTAGAAAACACGTTGTTAGAAAACACGTTGTTAGAAAACACGTTGTTAGAAAACACGTTGTTAGAAAACACGTTGTTAGAAAACACGTTGTTAGAAAACACGTTGTTAGAAAACACGTTGTTAGAAAACACGTTGTTAGAAAACACGTTAGAAAAACTAACTACCTCAGGAAAAAACTTTACCAAAAACTCAGGCTAGAAACACTAGAAAAAACGCTAGAAAAAACGCTAGAAAAAACGCTAGAAAAAACGCTAGAAAAAACGCTAGAAAAAACGCTAGAAAAAACGCTAGAAAAAACGTCAGAAAAAAGTTAGAAAAAACGCTGGAAAAAGCATCGGAAAAAACGCTGGAAAAAACGTTAGAAAAAACATCAGAAAAAACGCTAGAAGACACGTTAGAAAAAACTTTGCCAGAAACATAAGAAAAAACTTTGCCAGAAACATAAGACAAAAACTTAAACTTATGAAAAACCTTAGAGAAAACGTTAGGGAGAGAAAACGTTAGGGAGAGAAAACGTTAGGGAGAGAAAACGTTAGGGAGAGAAAACGTTAGGGAGAGAAAACGTTAGGGAGAGAAAACGTTAGGGAGAGAAAACGTTAGGGAGAGAAAACGTTAGGGAGAGAAAACGTTAGGGAGAGAAAACGTTAGGGAGAGAAAACGTTAGGGAGAGAAAACGTTAGGGAGAGAAAACGTTAGGGAGAGAAAACGTTAGGGAGAGAAAACGTTAGGGAGAGAAAACGTTAGGGAGAGAAAACGTTAGGGAGAGAAAACGTTAGGGAGAGAAAACGTTAGGGAGAGAAAACGTTAGGGAGAGAAAACGTTAGGGAGAGAAAACGTTAGGGAGAGAAAACGTTAGGGAGAGAAAACGTTAGGTTAGGGAGAAAAAACGTTACGAAAAACGTTGGAAAAAACGTTGGAAAAAACGTTGGAAAAAACGTTGGAAAAAACGTTGGAAAAAACGTTGGAAAAAACGGTGGAAAAAACGTTGGAAAAAACGTTGGAAAAAACGTTGGAAAAAACGTTGGAAAAAACGTTGGAAAAAACGTTAGCAGAAATTTTTTTAAAAACGTTAGCAAAAACGTTAGCAAAAACGTTAAAACCGTTAGAAAAACCTTTAGAAAAACCGTTAGAAAAAAACGTTAGAAAAAAAAGTTACCAAAAAAAAGTTAGGAGAAAACACGTCAGAAAACACGTCAGAAAAC